TGTTGGGTTCATGCTGGGGGAAGGGGGGGTTTGGTTGGGGGTGGAGGGGGAGGAATGGAGGGGTGGACTGGACTTGGGGGCATGCATTGATATTTTTGATATGCTAATCACATATATATTTTTTACGTACAAAATAAATACTGCTGTTAGCCTATGAGGTGCAATATCCTTTTTGGTGGTGTTTGTTTGTCACCTACAGTGGATAACCCAGCAGGTTACCAAAAGAAAAACTTGGAAGGAGCGCCAGACCAAAAGATAAAAGAGTCCAAATTAATTTATTGGTATTGTGATATAAGGCAGCAAACATGTTTCCGGGGTCAAAGGAGCTCCCCCTTCATCGGGGCATGAACTCAAAGTAAGGCAGGTCATAGACCAGTGATGGTGAACCATTTTGAGCCCGAGTGCCCAAACTGCAACACAACCTTATCACTGACAGCACTGGGTGTGCACCCGTGTTCCGTGAGGACGTCCATGGAAGCCTTCCCAGAACTAGACAACCGCACTGTAGCCATCTTTTGGCTATAGCACGGTTGGGAAGCAGTTAATCTCCCCTCCGCAGGGTCGGTATGGCTTCCAACCCGCCAGCTCATTCCCATCCATGCTGAGCATGTCGCCTATGGCCCCGGAGCAGTGTGGGAGCCGTTTACTTTCATCCACGCTAGACACGTCACCACTGGCCCTAGAGCAGTGTTGGAGCCACTTCCTGTCAATCACGTCCATCCCTGGGTATGTCACCCTTGACGCCAGAGCCATGTGGAAGCCACTTCCTCTCATCCATGTCCATCCCCGGATATGTCACCCCTGATGCCAGAGCCGTGTGGGAGCCGCTTCCTCTCGTCCACGCCCACCCTGGCCCCAGAGACATGTGGGAAATGTAGTTCGAAGGGGGGTGTGGTGTGGACAAGATCTGGATGGCCGGTCAGTGTGTGTGGTCCGTTTGCACTCATCTTCCTCTTCTTCCTGGCGTGTCCACTGAGATGGCTTTGCGTGCCATAGGTTCGACATCACTGCCATAGACAATGAGATTTTTTTTTTGCAACCTAAAAATCGCTCAATTTCCCTATCAACACAGTAAGTGTTGATGGGGTAATCCCTACTGCAGAGGGGGGCGCAGGGGGGAGTAATCCCTACTGCAGAGGGGGGCGCAGGGGGGAGTCATCCCTGCCAGGAGAACACAATTATGCCTGAAGAATTTTGTTAGCACATTCTGATGAGAAATTATAAAAATCACCCATCCAACCATTTGATGGTGCCTTTATGGACTCGGCTAATTTTGAATAACTGTTTGTTTGAGTACCATGATTTTTGTAGGACAAATGTTGTTCTTCTGGAATAACTTAGACACCTGCATGTACATAAGACTAGTTATGATTTTCTTGGCCAGGAGCAAATTCAATTATTAGAAATTAAAGTGGAGTTCCAGTCATTTTTGTGTTTATTAAAATGCAGCAGCTACAAAAACTGTAGCTCCTGACTTTTAATAAAAACACACTTACCTGTCCCAAGGTCCAGCGATGTGCTCACCCGCATCGCCCCTTCTCTCCCTCTTCTCTCCCCGGCATCAGCATTTCAACTGCGGTCACTAGTCTGTGACAGCTTGCAGCTTCACAGCTGGGTGCCCACTGCGCTGCAAATTCTGATTGGCCCGGCAGTCTTATGAGAAGTGTCCCAGAAGACTGCAGGAGGAAGGAGGGAGAGAGAAACGTCTGTCTCACTTTGCTGCAGCGAACTAAGTTGGAAGTGGGAGCAAGTACCTGTCAAACCAGGTATCTGCCCCCCCCAAAAAAATTGCCAAATATGGCAGTGGAGGGGGGGGGAGGCAAACAAGCGGAGCTTCTACTTCTGGGTGGAACTCTGCTTTAATTCCATCCATTTAGATGCAATAAAAAATTTCCATCCTTGTCCTTTGATTTTGCTATGGATCCCTTATTAGATGTGCCGGGGGGGTCTTCTCACCACACCTGCTCATGACTTGAATACCTTTTAATTTCTCATCAGGCCCTGCCTAAGAGTAGTGTCTGTGCAAATTGATGTCATCTCCTCTGATCATGCTCCAGTCTATTTAACTTTTCAGTTGGGCCCAATCCTGCAAAATCCTCCATCTTGGAGGCTAAACAAGGCTCTATTACAGTAAATAGACCTCTATTCCGCACTGCAGACAGCCCTTACCGTGACTCAGTTGACAACCCATTGGGTTGGCCATAAACTGGTGGTGCAAGATGCGTTAATCAGTATTGGAGCTCGCCTTAAAAGGAAGCGTACCCACCAAACGGAAAGTGACTCTTGCACTCTCCACTCACCGGAAACTTCAGCCATGGATTGCTGAAAAACCAGACATCGGGGGGGGGGGGTAAGGTAGTAGAGGTGCACCAGGTGGATGCTCTGGGCAATCACTTCTGTGCCGTAGGACAAAAATAATAAGACGGGCCCCAACATGATAGCTGTACACTAGCAACTGATCCAAGGTCAGTGTGCATAAAACTATGAGGAAGGAGGTTCATCTGCAGGTAAAAAATCACTACCCAGAGTGAACGGTTGCCCACAGCCACAGAAAATAAGAAATAAAAGGGGAAGGGGCAAGCAGACACAACTATGCCATTATTAAATGTGACAGCCCTGAATCCGTAAAGCACAAAACAGCCTAATGAGGGCGGGCTCCCCGAACTCCCAGGCTATACAAAAAAAGAGAATGGGGGGGAGGTCTAGGCATCGCCCGGCTGAGGGCCTCAAAACTGGAGGCTTTGGATCGAGGTTACCGGATCCCACACTGTGGTCCTTGGCATAGATGGGTAGTAGGCTTCCAGACATAGCAAATAGTTCAACCAGGTCGGGACTTCAACAGCAGGCTTGTCCAGGAAACTGAACAGTGCTGGTAACTGTTCAGGGAAGCACAGGAAGAACTTGGTCCTCTGTTTGCGGAAAATTAGATGGAACAGGTGGCCTCAGCGGTAGGTTGCTTCCACCTCACAAACAACTTCCAGGAGAAGACAGAGCATCCCCTTTGTAGCCTGGGTCTGCTTGGAAACACTTGGGTACAATCAGATAAGGGCATCATCAAAGTATATAGGGCCTCCTGACCAGGCTTGATGTAGGATCTCCTCCTTAATGGTGCAAACGTGGACCCTGCAGAGGACATCTCGTAGAAGAGCTAAAGAGGCAGAGGCTGCTTCAGATGATGAAGGTGCATGAGGGCCTTGTACATGGTGGACCCTATCCAGCTCGAGCTCGTCATTAGATGGTTTCCCCAGCAGCTGGTTGAGGACTGTAATGTGCAGATCCTCGATCATGGTGGCCTCTGGGATCCCTCTGAGGCATAGATTATTCTGTCTATTGCGGTTCTCTTCATCATCCAGCCAAAGCTGAAGAGGGCAGCAAGACAGGTATCTGTGGAGTTGGCAGATGCTTCAAGTTCTCTGCCCCCCCCCGTTCCTCCACTGTATCCACTTGCTGACAGAGGTCGTGTAGCTCATGGAAAAGGGCATTGACAATGGAGGTGGCCAATGCCTGCAGGTCTTGCTTAGTAGGAAAGCCATGATTTCCCTGATGGTACCCTTTGTGTGGTCATCTAACCCCTGTGTCTACCCAGAGTCAGTCGGGGAGTCTGCCCACGGGAGTGCTGGGGACAAATTGGAAGGAGCTGGGCAGGGCAACTTTACTACGGGATCCTCTGCAGTAGATGCCATTAGCTGCACAGCCTTTTTGATAGAAGCGAGGCTGGTCGAGTTAGTGCATGGCGGCACCATCTTGGAGGAAGCCGCAGGAGAAGAAGCAGGGTGCTGTTGCTGGAAATAATGAGTTATCTTGGCTCCCCTCAATTCCCCTGCAGTCTGTGGTGTCCAGTCCCCCGGCATGTGGTTGCTGGTGAATGGTACAGTTCGACAGGCTTTTCCTTGTCCTTGTCCATGCAGAGCTTCAGAGAGAGTCTCCTCATGCTGCCATAGCCAAGCCACACCCCCCACTATTTTATATACTGTATATACAGTATATGTGTAGCCAGATTATATCATTAAACCATTCTGGGACATTTACAGAGGAGACTGTAGGTAGTCATTTTCCCCGTAGTGCCCAGTACAGGGACTGCTACATCACTTGCTGTTAGAGTGGATTCAGTTTTCCTGACAGCAGAGGGTCTTGGGACCTGTAGTCTGACAACCAATACATCCTGTATTCCTGAGTGCTGATTGAACTACAACTACCAAAGAGCTGGCGAACAAGGAGGATGCTGAGAAAACAGAAGCAGTATATTCTATAGCAGGGGACTGTCTCTCTCTTGGCACAGGATTCAGAGCTGAAAACAGGGGGACTGCCATTCTCTTTCACAGACACATTGCTGGCCTACTGCTGCAGGACTCTTCACATTAGTTAAACACAGCGTTGACACTAATCGCCACACCAGGATCTCAGGAGCATCTCTTCATCAGGACTGTCATTGTCCGGTCTTCACACAGACATCTCCATTGCTGTGCTGACAGGCCTCCAGGTGGTAACTCTGCACATCTCTGCAACTCTATCTGCCTCAAAAAAATTATTAAAAATGTATTTGGGTACAGTGCTGCAAGAGGAGGGGCAAGCCAAGAGGCTGAGCAAGAACTCTGTTCCTAGAAGGCTGTGCTCTCCATAGGATTGGTGAGCGGGTGGATGCCCCTCCTCTTGCAGCACTGTACCCAAATACATTTTTAATAATTTTTTTGAGGCAGATAGAGTTTTCTCTTGGTGGTATTAATCACCTCTGGGTTGCTTATTTCATGCTAAACAAATGAAAAAAGACCAGAATGTTTTTAAAAAAAGCCTTTTTCTTAGTTTCTGTTATAAAATTTTGTAAATAAGTAATTTTTCTCCTTCACTGATGTGCGCTAATGAGGTTGCACTGATAGGTGGCACTGATAGACAGCACTGATAAAAGGCACTGGTAAGCAGCACTGATGAGGAGGCACTGATAGGCATCACCAATGGGTACTGACAGGCATCATTGATGGGCATTGAAAGGCAGCACTGATGGGCACTGATATTTGGCACTGATAGGCACTGACTGGCTCTGATAGGCGGCACTGATAGGTGGCACTGATTGGCACTGATAGACTGCACTGATGAGGAGGCATTGATAGGCGGCGCTGATTGGTATTAATAGGCATCACTGATGGGCACTGATATGTGATATAGGCAGCAATGATAAGCACTGATGTGTGGCAATGATGGGCATTGATAGGCAGCACTGACTGGCATTTACTAGCACTGATAGGCAGCAATGAGGAGCACTGATACTCGGCACTGATGAGTACTAATATAGGCAGCACTGACTGGCACTGATAGGTGCCACTGATGGGTACTTATAGGTGCCACTGATGGGTACTCATAGACTGCACTGATGAGGAGGCAATGAGAGGCAGCACTGATGGGTATTGACAGGCCTCACTGATGGGCACTGAAAGGCATCCCTGATATGTGCATTGATGGGCACTGATATGTGGCACTGATAGGCAGCAATGATGGGCAATGAAAGGCAGCACTGATGGGCACTGATGGGGCTGAACTGATGATCAGGGCACTGATGATCAGGGCCATGATTATCAGTATAGATGTCCCCTCTGCGAAATGCCGCTTACCGGCTCTCTTTTCCTCACACGCTGTCAGTGTGAGGAGAGGACTGCTTATAAACGGCATTTCCTGTATACATGTGATCAGCTGTGATAGGACACAGCTGATCACATGGTAAAGAGCCTAAGTCATCAGCACTTCACCACGATGGTGATCTGCTGTGTCTGAGGGACACAGTGCACCACTGATCACTGCGCTGCTCACCCACAGGGGGCGTGCATGTGCAGCTAGAGTGGGAGGACATCATATGACGTCCTCCCAGAACAAGAGAGATCGTACCTGCTCGTAATTTCCCTATTCTGCGGGCGGGAGGTGGTTGAACAAAGAAAATTCTATTCAAGTAACTATTCTTAACTCAAAAAGTATACTCTTAGCCTCTTCCAAATTCCTTTTTTTGCTGCTGTAATCCAACTTCCTGTAAGAGGCTGGTTATTTGTTCTTCATGGTCCCACTGTATGTAGCAACGTAAACACCCTCTCTTGCTCTACTTACTATAGATTATGGACTATGAGATTTGTAGTATGCATAGAACAGTGCACTTGCTCATTCCAAACAAATGGGAACGTGAAAGGAATTCCTCACACCTGGAGAATTCCTCTATGCTGTATAGCTAGCCCTCCAAAGCCACTTCTATTCACTGATCAGCAGTCCAATGTCTCCATCATAAAGTACAAATCTAGAACCAGTTGAGAATGATGAGAGTCTGTCCATATCCCAGAATGCTGAAAAGCAGACTAGGGTGTTGCGGGGAACAAAGAAAATACAAGTACACTATATTGCCAAAAGCATTGAGACACCTGCCTTTACACGCACATGAACTTCAATGGCATCCCAGTCTTAGTCCATAGGGTTCAACGTTGAGTTGGCTCACTCTTCGCAGCTATAACAGCTTCGACTCTTCTGGGAAGGCTGTCCACAAGGTTTAGGAGTGTGTCTATGGGAATGTTTGACCATTCTTCCAGAAGCGCATTTGTGAGGTCAGGCACTGATGTCGGACAAGAAGGCCTGGCTTGCAGTCTCCATTCTAATTCATCCCAAAGGTGTTCTCTCGGTTGAGGTGCAGGCCAGTCACGTTCCTCCACCCCAAACTTGCTCATCCATGTCTTTATGGACCTTACTTTGTGCACTGGTGCATAGTCATGTTGGAACAGGAAGGGGCCATCCCCAAACTCTTCCACTAAGTTGGAAGCATTAAATTGTCCAAAATGTCTTGGTATGCTGACTCCTTAAGAGTTCCCTTCACCGGAACTAAGGGGCCAAGCCCAATTCCTGAAAAGCAACCCCACACCATAATGCCCCTCCACCAAACTTTACACTTGGCACAATGCAGTCAGGCAAGTACCGTTCTCCTGACAACTGCCGAACCCAGACATGCCCATGGGATTTCCAGACAGAGAAGCGTGATTGATCACTCCAGAGAACACGTCTCCATTGCTCTAGAGTCCAGTGGTGGTGTGCTTTACACCACTGCATCCAACGCTTTGCATTGCACTTGGTAATGTAAGGCTTGGATGCAGCTGCTTGGCCATGGAAACCCATTCCATGAAGTTCTTAATGCACTGCTGTTGTGCTAATCTGAAGGCCACACAAAGTTTGGAGGTCTTTAGCTATTGACTCTGTAGACAGTTGGTGAATTCTGCCACACTATGCGCTTCAGCATATGCTGACGCCGCTCTGTCATTTTATGTGGCCTACCACTTCATGGCTGAGTTGCTGTTCTTCCCAATTGCTTCCACTTTGTTATAATACCACTGACAGTTGAGCGTGGAATATTTAGTAGCAGGGAAATATCATGGATGGACTTACTGAACATATGGCAACTTATCATTGTACCACGCTTGAATTCACTGAGCTCCTGAGAGGGACCCATTCTTTCACAAATGTTTGTAGAAACCGTCTGCATGCCTAGGTGATTGATTTTATACACCTCTATAATCATGGAGGTGATTGGGATGCCTGAATCCAATGTTTGGAGGAGTGTCCTAATACTTTTGGCAATACAGTGTATATCTGCTTATTCTCTTCCCTCTAGACAAGACAAGCAGTCAACCCTTGCAGTTTGGGGAAGGGGGAGGGGTGGAGAGGGCACTGCAAGGGTCATTCTCAATTTAATTCATAATTAGGTTTTAAAGCAAGACAAAATTTTCCTATCCTTTTGCAGCAGAAGACAGTGCCATCTTAGCCTCTATTTAGATCTCCCATAATGCTATGACAGTTGCCATTTGAGGGCTTAAAAATTCGTTGGAGAGCCGACATAAGCACATTGGGACTTGCACATGTGCTAGTAGACAGATTTTAAATGAAAACACTGCAGAAAATACCATTGGTACGTTTGATTAAAGATTTAACATTTATTGAACATTTCTAACTAGAGCTTGCTTTTGGGAAACAGTTAAATGTATGGGTTTAGTTCCGCTTTAAGGCAGATTAAAAGAATTTTTTGACTAGCGCAGTTGCAGCTTGTTTCACTGGCTTCACTTGTTGCCTGGAATTGCTATTTAAATTGCATTGTATTTTAGGATATAATATATAGAGCTGAAGAGTAGGCATGCCTTAAGATGCTTGTGGGTTCTAAGAAACTTGTTTCCAAAGCTTATTAGCTTAGTGGTTATTACTGCTGCCTTATGAAGGTGTAGTTCTGAGGTCTATGAGCATGGAGTTTATTTGTTGCAACCCATATTTCTGTGGGTTTGCTTTTGTTTCTAATCACATTACAAAAGCATACTGGCATGTTAATAGGTTTGAACCAAACTAGGCCTACTATGTACAACTACGGTAGGGACATTTAACTGTAAGCAACCAATATGAAACAAGTGGTTTAGTGCTCAATGGACCGAGACCAACATGAATGGTTGCATGCCCTTGGTGCACAGACCAATGGAATGGTTGAGCACCTTTAGGGACAGAGACCAAAGTGGGTTAGAGAACAATTTGAATGGCTGAGCTCCTTTAGGGTTAGAGCCCAAAGTGGAAAAGAGACAAATTTAAATGGTTGAGCCCCTCTTTGGACAGTGACCAAAGTGGGTTAGAGAACAATTAGAATGGCTTAGCTTCTCTTTGGACAGAGACCTATGTGAATAACTGAGCTGCTTTGAGAACAGAGACCAATGTCAATGGCTTAGCTCCTCTAGGGAGAGAGACCAATTCTAATGGTTAAGCTCCTCTGGGAACAGAGACCAATTTGAATGGATGAGCTTCTCAAGTAACAAAGAGCAATTTGAATGGTTGTGCTCTTCTAGGGACAAATACCAATGTATATGGCTGAACAATGTGAACAGCTGAGTGATCTTCATAATGTTTCACAGAGCAGAACAAGTGACAAGTAAAATGCATAAAAAGTGACTTACCATTGAAAGAAAATTTCAGCATATGTCTATTCAAAGAATGAATAGTGATCGGTGAGAGACATGCTTCTCAGTTGAACTTTATTCCACTGGGGTCTGTCACAATCTTGACCATGGCCAACATGTGGCATGTGAGTGTGCACAACATTTTGGACCCTTTGCTCCCACTTAGTTTGCAACCCAAGTTCTGTTCTATGTTTGCAGCAAATCTTCCTCCAATTACAAGAAAGGGTTCTTTTGCAGAGATTATCAAGAGTTCAAGGAGCATCGAGAGAGTTTCTTTTGCAGTTGTTTTCTACTACTAGGCCTAGCCATGTGAGCAGCATTTATCCACTGTACTAGTGAAAGGTGAACTGAAGGTGCTTCATTGAATTGAAGATGAAGTAAGAAACCTCCACAGTTATGTAGAGACCATTAAATAATACCACTTGATGCTGGAGGAGATTGTGGGCCTAGTCTCTATTACCTGCTGAAGGAGCCAGTTGAGCACTGCAGATAAAGATGGGACACAAGTGTATGTTAACCCAAGATGTGGTCTTAAGAATTATTAATGAGAACTTTTGAGCAAGCGTGTTTTATGACAGAGGAAGAAAACGCATATGCTGAGGTACATGCGTGTAATTATTTCCTCTCGAAGTTGACCTATGCCCCCTGGGCAATCATTAAAGGTTTCCCTTTAAAAGTCTAAGAACCACCTGCATCACAGTGGAGGGTTCACTGCAATTTCTCTTTTAAAACGGGAATAACTGGTGCTTGGTGTCTATTTTCAAATGTGTCTCTGAGAGAATTAACCCCTCTGGTTCTTGGAAGTTTATACAGTCTCTCTTGTATATTTAAACCCTAACTGGGTAACATTTAGTTTGTTATACATATGTTATAATAAAAAAAATAAAATGCTGGTTTTCCACTTTTTTCATTCTTTTTGCAGCTCAGTGCTGCTCATCTCCTCTTGCCTCTTTCAACCATTTCCTGACTACATGCAATAATCTCAGCCTTGAATACACTTCATTGCTCTGAATTGGTTTTCCATTGGTGCCAACAATGGACCCTTCCTGAGCGAAGTGTCAGCATGGCTGCTTGTAGTCTCCACCAGGGGTGCATGTGACAATGTAGGGGCACAATTGTAAGACAGTTGTTACCCCATAACAGGACGTATCTGAATAAAGATCTTAATGGCAGGATCACCAAGTATTAATATATGAAAGCTGCAGATTTAAGTGGGTTGAAATGCTATGTAGTTTTCTATAATATACTGTGACGTATTGTTGTGCATTCCACTGCAATTAAATGCAGCGTGTTTCATTTTTACCAAGCGGACATCAATGCAGTGTGCGTTTGAAATGGGCCTTTGGAATTTTGGATTTAAGATCATTGTGTTGTATCTG